CTAAACAAAAGTTTGGTGGTTCAAGTCCACTCACAGGCAACTCGGAAGAAAAGCCTGGAGATCTGCTTCTGAAAGATCAGCCATTGTAAACCTTATGGAGCACAGTTCTACTCTGACACACATGGGGTCTCCATGAGTGAGAACAACTTGAGGGCAACTGGTTCAGTTACTTAGCCAGGGTTGTTTATCAGAAAAGTAGCTATGACTTTTGCACAGGGTTCCAAGAGAGTTAGATCCACAATTAGTAACTTTTGAGGGGACAGAAAACAAATGGAGTGGGACACTGGGGGGCAAGGGTGCTACTAGAGGAAAGCAAAAGGTAAATATTAATTGCTTTTACAAAATACCTTCACAGCAGCACCTATATTAGTGTTTGATTAAAGAGCTGGGCACTAGAGCCTGCCAAGCTGACACAAAACCAACCATCACAGCCTCTTCTCCGTCTCCCCTCATTGCTGGGAAAGTGTTGCTCCAGGACAGCATCTGGCCAATATCTTGTTTTTCTGTTGCTTCCTTTGCATACTTGCTGGGAGTGCCTTTAACTTCTGGACTGATAAGCTGGCATAAGGGAGAATTCTAACAGCATGTGAGAGCCAGAAGGAGCTTAATGATCTCATCCAGCCCCTGCGTTTACCACTGAGGAAGCTGAAAGTGAAGGAACCGTCTTTTCTCGCAGGCGGCTGGATAGCTTTTGGCCCTGGCTGGTGGCCACGACCCTCGCTATAGCTCCTTAGATGGTAACTGTACCCCCTGGCTCACTTATGGGAGGGACCTGGGCCATGTATAACCAGAGCCTGTTTTCCTATTTTTCCCCTGGAATTAGCTCTGTGTTCTGCAAAACCACAGGGATTCAGTGTGCATCTGCCTCCCTTCGCACCCATCTGCACTGCAGGCCCGGCTCCTGCTGCCTCTGGCTCTCTCCTGTGCCCTTCCCCAGCTCTCTGGGAGGGTTTGTCTTCTGGCTCAACTGCTGAGCTTCTAGAAAGTTCCAAGATAAGGGAGAAGGCCCAGCCCTTCCAGCTGGAGAGCAAGCAGGAGTCAGACTGGCTGGAGGCCTGTCAGGCTGACTAGATAATAATGCTGTGTCTCTGAGGTAGCACAGCCAGCAGCTCTCTGGCCAAATGACCCCAGAGAGGGAGGCAGCTCCAGCTGACAGCTTCCATTTCAGGAAGAGATGGAAGCACGTAACACACGGGAAGCAGAGAGACTCTCGCTGAGAGTCTCACACACACACACACACACGCACACACACACACACTCGTATAAACACACGAGAATAAAATAGAAAGGGAAATTGAGGCCCAGAGGGAAAATAGCAATAAACAGCTTGTCTTCCTGCAGGCTTCTGCTGTAAGCGTCTGTTTTCAGGCCTTCATCCTGCTAGCTGGCTGACAAGCAGAGCTTCTTAAAATACCTGTCCCAAGCCAGCTGGCTTAGCCTGTCTCTACGGGCTGAGATAAATCCCTCCTTAGCTGTGTTACTATGCTAAGCAGCACATAGTTTTTAAGCTCATAAGGCATCTGATCCCTCCGTCTGTGCCTGCACACGTGGAAGGAAGGTGGAGAAGGCAGGGGGCACCTCCAGACCCCTCCTGGGAAGCAGAGGAGGCAGGGCAACCAGCCCATGCTGAACACCTTGGACGTTTTTGTTTTGTTTTATAATAATGTTTATTTTCCTGGTATAAAAGTTACTATATGTTCAAGATGTAAAATTTGGAATATATTTATATGTGTGTGTATATATATATATATATATATATATATATATGAGAAAAAATCACCTATAGCTCCCTTCCCCCAAGATATTTGGTTGGACACTATGTAGTTGCCATTTTTATAGGTCGAAATGGTTGAATATCAGTAATTTCATAGGTTCAGCCTAATATATTGGTGTATTTACTTCCATTTTTTTATTCCTTGAAAAATATATATTTGAAATCATAATGCATATTAGAATTTTATGCCCAACTTTATGAACATTTTTATGTAAGCATTTCCCCATGCAATTAAAAACATTCTCTAAGCAATATTTTTAATAATTACATAATAGTCCATCGTTTGGGAGCATCAAGGGCATTTCCCCAGCCTGAGGTTACGCCGCCGCTGGTCTAGCTCTGGATCCCATGGCCCAGGGAAAGAAAGCGCCTTGTTTCTGGCACTCACTTGGCTGGAGAGCAAGCCGGCTGGGATCAGCTCCCAGCAGAGCTGGGGAGAGCTCTGGTGACAGGCGGCCGGAAGGCAGCTGGCCCTTGTCACTCTTCAGGACATGTGCTAAGTGCAGACAGAGGTCAGGGAGTAGAAAAATTTGCCCCTAGAGGCTGGCCAGAGAGGGGAGAAGGACTGAAATAGGGCTCTAGAGGGGAGTCCAGTTCTAGCAAGAGTCTTATCTTGCTCAGAAAGGTCTACTTTAAGTGCTCAGGTGTGCCAGCAGCTGGCTTGGCTCGGCTCTGTGGTACCTAGACTGCGTTAGCCCGAGAAGCCAACTCTCTGCCCAAAGTGCTGTCTCTGCCTTGCGCTCTCCATGGTCAGCTTTAGGGTCAGGCCAAGCCCTTTTGGGGCCCACTGGGGGAGACAGAGACTCCCACCCTTCACTATGCTTCCCACAATGTCTGGTGCTTGCTCGGGTCAGCTGGTTTCCTAGTGGAAATGAGCAGATGAAAGGGAGGGAGGGGGAAGCGGAAAGGGACCCTCTCTGGCTCTGACACTGGCTATTCGACCATAGGAAAGCCAAGTAGTCTTTTTGAGCCTCAGCTCTCTTATCTGTGAAATGGGAAGAGGGTTGTTGTGAGATTTAAATAAGTTATTGTATTGAAAGTACCTAATGCATACCCAGCACATGGTAGACCCTCAGCCACTTAGTACTGACATTTTATTACCTCAGCATTCCCCTGTTCCTCCTTATAAATGCCCTGAGCGTAGGAAGGGAATGCCTAGCAATAATGTTGATGAAAATAATTAGCAGTTGTTGAGCATTCACTATTCATTCAGTAAGTATTCATAGAGGGCCTACTGTGTGCTAGGCATTATTGTTCTAAGCTCGAGGAATAACGGGTCAAAAACAATGTTCTGCCCTCGTGGAGTATTGCATGGGGGAGGCAGACAATGAATAAATGAACAGAGGGTAAATACATCGCATGTCAAGTGGAGATACGTGCTATAAGGAATAATAGGGCAGGGTGAGCGGATGGACAGTGACAGTAGAGGGGAGGTGGGCAGTGGAGGCACATGTATCAGCCACTAGTTGAGCATTAAACACCCAAAGAATTGGTGTTTAATAAAGCTTCGATGGACATGACAAGGACATCTCCAAGCACCAGGAAAGGTGACGGTTCTCTTAGTTTGCAGACGAGGTAAGAGATGGGAAGTGGGGTGGGATGCAGAGATGTATGGAGCCAGGACTCCTGGCTCCCCTTCTGGGCTCTTCACTCTTCCACACTTCGCCAGCTGTGGAGGTGGCACATGGGTGTGGGCAGGGAGTTTCTAGATCTCAAGATCCTGGCAGCACATATTCACTCAGTCTCTCTGGGATGGGGCTGCCAGGAATCAGTTCAATTCAGCAGACACCACCTGTTCTAAGGCATCGGCCCAGTTAGCTTATTCCCTTCCCTGGAGCTGGGAGTTCTCGGGGAAGGCTACCAGAGCTGCCCCTCGTTCTGGGGAGTGGGGTTAGGGGAAAGCCAGGCCTGCATCTTGTGATAGGTACAGTCACGCCTACCCAGAAGGACCAGCAGGCTAGGGGGGTTGTTGTCCAGACCTTGCCTCTCCTTGTGGGTGAATCTGGTGCCCTCTGAGCAGTGTTCTTTAAGCTGGGCACAGAGTTTGCAATGATGGTTACTTAGACAAAACGTAGATGTCATGTGTTTCACACAGGGGAGCTGGGACAGGATCATGCGTGTCTCTACGTTGGGTGTGTGCACAGGTACCGACTCAAAGAATCAGGGCCTTGTGGCCTCTCTGGCCATGTTCTTTTTCTTGGCGATACCTGCCCTGCTGTGGAGCCCATGGGGTTCAGTTCCCCCTCTTGGCTCACTGTGGGGATGGGCTCAGGCCAGGGAAGGGTGGTTATTAGGGACCTCCTCAGTGAGGCTGGTTCCCCCTTGGCTGTCCACGTGAGCCCAGATCTTCATGGGGAAGGGCCTCTGCCCTCAGCCCTATGGCTGCAGACTCCCTCTGCCCTGTGCCTTCCTGGCCTGTGGGCTACTCACCCAAAGAGCTTTCTCTGGCTACAGACTCTAAGCTACTCTCCTGTGCATAGGGAGGGGCCGAGCCTGTGACGGATGCTCACGTCCCAGGTGTCAATGCTGGAAGGCCTTAGAGATCACCTAAATGTCAATACAATGTCAGCTCCCCAAGGGCAGGTCTCTGTTGTGTTCACTGTTGTGTGTCCAGAGCCCAGAGCAGTGTCTGACACATTGTACATGCTCATGAATATTTGTTGAGGGAATGAATGAGTCTTCCAACCCCCAGTCAAAACCCCCAGTGAAAACTGAGCCTGGGGGAGAATCACAGCCAGGACCGACAAGGAATTTCCTCACCCCTCTTGGCCATTTTTGGTGTCCTCTTCCCCGGTCCTTAGAAACCTAGTATTCCTGAGGCTGCCCAGATTACATGAGATAGGATATAAAACTTTCTAGCCCTTGCCTAGTAGGTGCTGAAAAGTGTGTTTGTCTTACTTTCTTCTTTTTGCCCTTAGCACTCTACTTCTGTTTCACCTCAAGGCAGTGTCACGGACCAGAATTATTTTTTCCACCACTTCACACCTCTCCCCAATCACACCATCTATTTACTTAGCTAGGTATTAGGAGGAATACTAAGGGATTAAACTGGAAAATGACCAACAGACCTGTTCTATGACGTTAATCCTCCCATGTTTATTCATGAAATCAGTGGATTACCAAGGTTAGCATTCGCACTGAGGGAATGCTCTGGGCTCTCAGGATACAAGGGGAGAATCCCATCAGGGCTGTGCCTCTGAGTCTCTCCTGCTTCTCTCTCCCACAGTGGCAGATGAAATGCTGCAAGTGTGACTCCAGGCTGCCTCATAATTACAACAGTCACCGAGTGGAGAATGTGGCATCATCCTCGGGCCCCATGCGCTGGTGGCAGTCACAGAATGGTGAGGGCCTGCCACCTACAGGGGCCCAAACTTCTGACAGCTTCCATTGGATGGGGATGGATGGAGGGTGCCCAGGAACGCTTTGGGCTTCCCAGACATTTCTTATGGCGGTGGGACAAAGATGGTTGACAAGCACTTCTATGTTTGGGTTCGGTCGGATGGCGTCGGTAGAAGGGTTTATTAGAGGTTAAGGAAAGAGCGTGAGAAGAGGAATGATTTATTTCACGCGACTTAATTACAACGGGCCTGTGGAAGGAACTGAACTTTGGGAACAGGACTGTGTTGAACAGACACGTTGAAACTCTTCAAGGTATTAGGGATATTGAGTAATAGTAGGAAGGAAGTTTGACAGGAACAGACAGGGTCTTGAATAGATGACTTAAGTAGAAATATACTGGCATCATTCCTCTCCGGGAGGGAGATCAGAGAGTCAGGGTTAGAGAGTGTATGACCTCCTAGAGCCGGTACTAACCCAGAGCCTTCTTCAGGGCTGGGAAGGGGGAAAGTCTCTGGTTTAATGTTACTACTTTTTGTCCTTCCAGATATGAACCCTGTCTCTCTGCAGCTAGACCTGGACAGGAAGTTCCAGCTTCAGGACATCATGATGGATTTTAAGGTGTGCTTCTTGGGGAGGGCAGTGGGTAGGAAGTGGGACTTGGGCCCCTCAAGAAGTGGGGAGCACAGTGTCCTTGTGTCTCCAGGCTGGGCATGCTGGCATCACGTGCTGGGTGGATCTCCATTCTCCAGGCTGGTGTTACTCTCACCCTGAGCCTGTATCATGGTGACAGCAGAGGCCTCACTGCCAAGAGAACAGTGGCACTTCCAGGCTCCCTGTCTTGGTTGTGCAGTGGTTGTATATCTTCTTCCTGCACCCCCCTACACTCACCCCATCTAAATAATTCAGCTCTGCCAAGTACCAATTTTACTAGGCCTAGTTGCTTATTATGGAGTCACTGGGTGGCACAGTTAACACACTGGGGGGTGCTACCAAAAAAGCTGGAGGTTTGAGTCTACCCAGAGGCACCGTGGAAGAAAGTCCTGGCACTCTACTTTAGAAAAGTCAGCCATTGAAAACTCCATGGAGTACAATTCTACTCTGATACACATAGGTTCATCATGAGTTGGAATTGACTTGATAGTAACTGGTTTTGTTTTTTTTTTGGTTGCTTATCATATAGGTATACATTATTGGTAGACTGTGTTTTCATAACTTTGCAGATACTCAGTTGTCCAAAGGATTTCTGACAAGTCACAGTTACGGAAGAGACTCAGAACTTGAGAGCTGGAATGGATCTTGGAGATTTCTAGATTAGCACACAGCCATGAACTTGTCTATGCAAGATACACTTTTGGAGCAGCCCCCTTGGTGGGCAATCCACTCATTCAGTGCTATTACTTCTCAAAGTGACTTAGGAAACCACTTTTAGAATAGTCTTCTGATATACTCCTTTTGGAGGGAATATTTTCACTCATTTGTGGCAGAACATCCTTCCTCCTCCCCCCACCCCTAGAGATTTGATTTCATTCTCTCCGCAGAAATGGTCAACAGTTTAAGCATCGAGACTGGCTAATAAGATCAGATGATCAGGAAGGGTGATATGATTCACAAGAGTTAAAATGAACTGTAAATAAAAAGTAATAAAACCTATTTTTTCCTGTGACTGAGGAAGTTGCTCTAAGAGGCTTGTCCCAAGAAAAGATCAAAAGCATTTTGCTAAATGCCAGCGTCATTGAATACATGCCCAGCCTCTAAAGGTGAGACCTTTGAAGGGCAACATTCATTTGGATGGGTACTGTTCAATAGTCTCATTGCTTGTTATCACTCACCCAGGCATTTCTTTGTCTATCCATGCTACATATTGAACCCTGGTTATATGTTAGGCTTGGTGCCAGATATTCAGGATAAAAGGATGGATAAAACTAAATTATGACCCTCAAGCTGCTTTGTATGTTTTATATGCTTTATATGACAGACCCAGAAACAATAGTGAGAAAGTATGATGAGGGCTGTGGAATTGAAAAGAAGAGGTGCTAGGGACACAGAGGGGGGCATCTCAGTTGGCCTGACTTGGGAGATCAGAGATTGTACCCAGAGGAAGATAAACCCTCATAGACCAGGAATGGCCTTCATTCCAGGCAAACAGAGCAGCAAGTGCAAAGGCCAGCAGGAAGAGGAAGGAAGGTGTGTAACTGGGGACAGGGTGCACATAGGGGCTGCACATAGGCTGTGGAGGGTAAAATGTGTCTATGGTGGAGGTGGAGGGTGAGGAGTAGAGGGCTGTAGACCAGTGACAGATTAGTTTACAGATATAAATGGTGGCAGCAGGACGGAGCAGACTAGAGATTCACCCATTCAATCAGCAAATGTGCACAAGCACCTACTATGTGATAGATGCAGTTGAGAATGTAACTGTGACTAAGACAGATTGGGGGGGGGCTACAGTCTAGACCAGCAGTTCTCAGCAGGGGTGATTTTGCCTCTGCAGAGGACATTTGGCTGTGTCTGGATACATTTTTGAAGGAGCCCTGGTGGCAAAGTGGTTAAGCACTTGACTGCTAACTGAAAGGTTGGCAGTTCGAACCCACCAGCTGTTCTGTGGGAGAAGACATGGCAGTCTGCCTCCATAAAGATTACAACCTTGGAAACCCTATGGGGCAGTTCTGCTCTCTCCTGAAGGGTCACTATGAGTCAGAATCGACTCGACAGCAACGGGTTTAGTTTGGGTTTGGTTTGGAGACATTTTTGGTTGTCACAGCGGTGGAAGTGCCATTGATATCTAGTGGGCACAGTCCAGGCTGCTAAACATCCTGCAATGCACAGGACAGCCTCCCACAGTGAATATCTGGCTCAAAATGTCAGTAGTGAGAAACCCTGGTCTAGTGGGAGAAGAACAAAAAGCAGGAACCAACAAATAATGGAAAGTTGTGGTGACTTTTATGAAGGAAACAAACAAGTTGCTGTGATAAGAAATAATGATGTGGGGTGGGTAGGCATGGACAGAAGAATGCACTTTAGGTATAAAAAGATCTCGCTGTGGAAGTGACATTGAAGCTGGGAACAAAAGATGAGTAGGAACCACCAGGTGAAGGCGCCTTCCAGGTGAAAGAAACAACATGCACAGAGGCTCTGAGGAGGGAACAAGTTTGGTGGAATGGAGGGCTTGATGGTCAGTGGGGCTACGTCTGAGAAAAGGCTCTGAGGAGGAGCAAGTTTGGTGGAATGGAGGGCTTGATGGTCAGTGGGACTACGTCTGCGAACAGGCTCTGAGGAGGGAACAAGTTTGGTGGAATGGAGGGCTTGATGGTCAGTGGGGCTACGTCTGAGAAAAGGCTCTGAGGAGGGAACAAGTTTGGTGGAATGGAGGGCTTGATGGTCAGTGGGGCTACGTCTGAGAAAAGGCTCTGAGGAGGGAACAAGTTGGTGGAATGGAGGACTTGATGGTCAGTGGGGCTACGTCTGAGAAAAGGCTCTGAGGAGGGAATGGACTTGGTATGACCGAGGGCTCACTCAGGCTGCAGGTAGAGATGGAGGCAAACAGTGGCACAAAATGAGGTGAAGAGACAGGCAGGGCCCAGGTAGCACAGGGCCCGGGTAGCACAGGGCAAACTTCAGCCACCATCAGGAGTTTGAATTTCATTCAAGAATCCTGGGAAGCCATTGGGTAGTTTTTAGCAGAGGTGGGACACGGCCAATTTTATGTTTTAAAAAGTAACTTCTTTCTGTGTGGTGACAGATGTGACTGAAGTAAGAGTGAACAAGGGGAAGTCAGGGGGGAGGGTCTTCAAGAGCTGGGAGGAGGTGGCGGCTGCCTGGACAGCATGGTGGCACAGAAGCTGGAGAGATGGGTGTCTTAGTTACCTAGTGCTGCTATAACAAAATACCACAAATGGGTGGCTTTAAAGAACAGAAATGTATTTTCTCAAAGTTCTGGAGGCTAGAAGTCTGAATTCAGGGCATGGTTCTAGGAGCAAGTTCTTCCTTGTCTCTTTCAGCTTCTGGTAGCCACGGCAATCCTTAGCATTCCTGGGCTTCTAGGTCCATCTGCCGTGTGTGTCTGTCTTCATATGGTCTTCCCCTGTGTGCGTCTCGGTGTCTGTCTGCTCTTTTTATAACTCAGAAGTGATTAGGTTTAGGACTTACCCTACTCTGATTGAACTCATAAACAACAAAAGAAAAGCCCTATTTCCAAACAGAGTCACATGTACAGTTATAGGGGCCAAGACTTCAATACATCTTTTTGGGAGACACAGTTTATTTCTAACAATGGACCTGATTTGGGAAGCTGGACCTATTTTGGAGGTTGGGTTTCTGAACCTGCAGGTGCCAGCTGGGAGCAGTCCGCTGAAGGCACCATCCAAAGCCCTGAGAAATCACCAAGGGAGAGAGTGCAGGGAGACAGTATGTCATGCGAAGGAGCTTGTGTTTCATCTTTCGGCTAGTGTGGATGGACTGAGGGGTCTCATTCAGGGGATCAGTGTGATCCACTAACCATTTAGAAGATCTCTTTGGTGAAGTGGGGAGAGTGGTTTGGAGGGAGCAGGACAGAGGCTGGATATGAGTTCTAGGCTGTTGCAGTAATACAGCTCAGGATGACCATGGCTAAACTACGGCAGTGGACAGAACCAAGAGCTGACAGGGATGAAAAATTGTTGGCTATGGGTAGTGCAGGAGCAAGAGAATTTTCTGGCCTGGAGGCCCGTGTGGCAGGCTGAGCTAGGAACATGTCTTCTAGAAAGGAGATCTCATTTCTATTACTTTCCCTGGTTCCCCTAGGGAAAACCTGCCATGGCCTGTGGTTTGCCAGGCAGAACCCACTGGCTCCTTCTCGGCCCCTTTTTCCTTACTCATGTGGGTCTCAGGAGCCATCAGCACTTCTTTAGGAACCTGTTTCTGTGACCATAGCCCTGGGGGGCACAATGCCAGCTCTTCGCCTCCCTCAGTCACTCAGGGCCCCCACCCTGCCCATGTCTCCACAGGGGCCTCTGCCCGCCGGGATGCTGATTGAGCGCTCCTCGGACTTCGGCAAGACCTGGCAGGTGTACCAGTACCTGGCTGCTGACTGCACTTCCACCTTCCCCCGGGTGCACCAGGGCCAGCCTCAGAGGTGGCAGGAAGCTCGGTGCCATTCCCTCCCTCAGAGGCCTAACGGGCACCAAAATGGAGGCAAGGTAGGTAGAGGGGCCTGGTCTGTGAAAGTCAGCATGGGGAGAGGTCCCTGGTGTCTCACTGCTCACGTGCTCACTCACACAGGGCTCTCTCCCAACCCCAGAGGCTCTGTCCTCACCCCTCAACAGATGGTGGTCCTCAGTGACTCACTGTCCAACCCAGAAGTCGGTTTGAGAAGAGATGAGAACACCCTTGGTCAGCTCGCCCTACTGTCTTTCCTAAACTCTCCAGTGATGACCCCTCTGGCCACCCTCAAAACATTTGCTGTTCATCTGTTTGCTGCCCAGTAGGGACACTTTAGAAACATCTTGAGTCCACTGCATAACCCAACCTCACTCTTCCTCACAGTTTCTTCCCCCACAGCTCGTTGGCACATCCCTGTAGCTGACAGGGTAAAATCAACTTTACTCCAGTGTGAGGACTTTTGGATGGTTAGTTAGCTACAAGTGAGCAAATCACACAAATTTAATTTATCCACCGATTTCACTTTGGTAGAATTTAATGCAAGACTGAACTTTTCAGGTTTAATCCACCTGTTAGCCCAGTCCTAGTCCTTGGGGGCATTGGTGGTTCAGTGGTAGAATTCCCTGCTGGGTTCGATTCCCTGCCAGTGCACATCATGTGCAGACACCCCTCTGTCAGTGGAGGCTTGTGTGTTGCTATGATGCTGAACAGGGTTCAGTACAACTTCCAGACTAAGATGGACTAGGAAGAAAAGCCTGGAGATCTACTTCTGAAAATTAGAGAATGAAAACCCTATGGATCACAGTGGTCCAGTCCTGCCATGCATGGGTTTGCCATGAATCGGGGGCAGATTCAATGGCAGGTAACAATGACAACAAAGTCCTTGTGGGTAATTCAGGCATAACCCACAGCTAAAGGTCACCTGGGTTTAAACCCTGAGCTAGAAATGAGAACCTGCCTCTAGAAACATCTCAGAATGTTTCTCCCCTAAACCTCTCAACTTGAGTCTAATTTTTTTACACGTACTCCTCACTTTCAGTGATCTCGTTATCCGGCATTTCACATTTAGGACAATAGTAAAAAATCTGCTATACAACTATTTTGTGCAGTAATGACGTACATCTGACAGTAATGAATGCCGAGGTACAAGGTGAGAGTACCACTGGCTGTGATGGTTAAGGTTATGTGTCAGCTTGGCTGGGCCATGATTCTCAGTGGTTCGGCAGTTATGTGATGATGTAATTCAGCAGTTATGTAATGATGTAGTCATCCTCCATTTTGTGATTTGATGTGGTCATCCTCCATTTTCACATAATGCCAATTTTTGCATAACAACCTGGTCTTTGGAACCTAATCATGTTGATAAGTGAGGGGTAGGTGTATTTCTTTCATAACTGCTTTCTCCTGCCCCTAGACTGAGGCTATATTTTCCTTTCTTCTTTCTGTGGCACAGGCTCAGTGAACCCTCAGAGTAGCTCTCACTGGACTGAGGGCTCAGAGTGACACCCTCCCTCTGGATAATGCATCTCTTTCCTTCAGTTCTAACAGCTCCTCCTTGGTCATGTCCTTATCCAAATCTATGTTAACCACATTCTCCAGACCCCAGATCAGAACAAAAGGACTTTCTTCATTTCTGGAGGATTGATGTGAAAACTCTTTCCAGGATGAAGTCATATCTAATGAGTGGTTTTTATTAAAAAAATATATATAGTTGAAATTGGGGAGGTCCAGAGGGCTGTGGTCAGTCACTATATCTGTGTACCCAGGGATCTATACCCTTTCATTCATCCTTAGTCCCGGGAAAATTAGCATCCCCTAGCCCCTTGTAGCGCAGTGGTTAAGCACTCAGTTGCTAACCGAAAGGTTGGCGATTCGAACCCACCAGCTGCTCTGTGGGAGAAAGATGTGGCAGTCTGCTTCTGTAAAGATTACAGACTTAGAAACGCTATGGGACAGTTCTACTCTATCCTATAGGGTTGCTATGAGTCAGAATCAACTCGATGGCAATGGTTTTTGTTTTATTTTTTTTGCAATCCCTTGTGTATGAATTATATATCTTATCACAACTTCTGACCCAAGGATATCAGTAAATTCTTGGGATACCTATATTTTTAATTGAAGAGGAGAGGTTGCACACACACACACACACACACACACTGTCAGACTCCTTTAGGGCCCAGGGCTCATCTCCTTTCTCCAGGGCAGTTGGCCCACCTCCCATCCACGGTCTATCTCAGGTTCCAGGGAGGAAGGACCTTTGAGTAAGATGGGGAGGGCGGGACCTTCAGTGGAAAGGACTTCTTTTGAGCTGTGCACTGTTGACCTCTTATTCAGTTCTTCCCTTTCCCCTCTCTCTGCAGGTCCAACTTAATATCCTGGATTTAGCCTCTGGGATTCCAGCAACTCAAAGTCAGAAGATTCAAGGTCAGTGTGACTACTCCTCTAGCCTGTGGGACTCAGTGTGGGCATGAGGAATGAAGCGGGGTTGGAACCTAAGTCATGGACATTTCCTGGTCTTCGTATTTCTGTCAGCATGGTTGGGGATTTAATACTTCCCCTGCCTACCCCATAGGGGTATTGTGGTGGCCCAATATTCAGAAACCCTGAGTTGGGGGTGTCTTTTCCCCAGACAACAGGACACTGTCTGAGGCCGAGGGCTGGGGACGGTTGTCCATAGTATAACTTTATGAAGCCAGGGAGGAAGGAATAGTGAGATCAGAATTCTTTTCTTAACCATCTTGCTCTAGGAGACTATTTACCTCTAACTTTCTTTCTTTTCCCTTCTCCAACCCTCTCCCTCGTTGTTTTCTGCCCCTTCTCAGAGCTAGGGGAGATCACGAACTTGAGAATCAACTTCACCAGGCTGGCCCCCATGCCCCAGAGAGGCTACCACCCGCCCAGCGCCTACTACGCAGTATCCCAGCTGCGCCTGCAGGGTAGCTGCTTCTGTCATGGCCACGCTGACCGCTGCGCCCTTGCACCTGGAGCCCACGCAGGCCCCTCGACTGCTGTGCAGGTGACAGCCCTGGTGGGAAGGGCTGCAGCAGGGGAGAGCACTACATTTAAGACTTCAATTATCTAATGTTTCAATAGCAAAAAAAAGAGAGAATCTAAGTTATCATCACTTCAAAAACCAGAATTTTGTAGTACTTCCTTAGACCTACTTCATGGTTTGGGATGATTTTATTTTCAGTTACATGTAAGTAAGTGTGGGGGGTGTGGGGGTATGGGGATGTGTGGGGGTGCAGGGGTGTGGGGATGTGTGGGTGTGCAGGTGTGTGGGTGCGTGAGTGTTAGATGTGGTTAAGGCTAGGCTTCTCAATCCTGTCTGCATATAAAAAAATCAGTGCCCAGACACTAAACCCCTACCCTCAGACACAATGTAGAATTACAGTGTTTTGTTGTTGTTGTTAAATAGACTTTATTGTTTTAGAGGATTTTTAGGTTTATAGAGAAATTGTGCAGAAAGTACAGAGTTTCCACATACCCTCTCTTGCCTGTACACAGTTCCTCTTATTATTACCATCTTGCCTCCCTGTGGTACATTTTTTACAATTGATGAGCCAAAATCGATACACTGTTATTAACTAAAGTCCGTAGTTTACGTTAGGGTTCGTTCTTCGTGGGGTACAGCCCAGTGGATTTTGACAACTGGTATTGTCTTGTGTCCACCATTACAGTATCATGCAGAATTGTTTCACTGCCCCCAAAATGCCCTTGGATCCACCCTCCACCCCTTTTCTGAACCCCTGGCAACCACTGATTTTTAACTGTCTCTATAGTTTAGCGTTTTCCAGAATGTCAGATAGTTGGAATCACACACTGTGTAGGTTTCCAGACTGGCTTCTTCCACTTAGCAATGTGCATTTAAGGTTCCTCCATGTCTTTCCATGGCTTAATAGCTCGTTTCTTTTTATCAGTGGGTAACAGTCCATTATACAGACAGACCACAGTTCGTTTATCCGTTCACAGGTTGAATGACATCTTGGTCTCTTATTGGCTCATAAAGCCCCCAGGCAATTCTAACATATCGGCAGGATTGAAAGCGGCTGATTCAGGAGTCTTTATTGAGTGGTGAGGTCAGGACAGGGTGAGAGACAAAGTCTAGCACAGATGCTAAGTCAATGCCCAGACCAGTAGTTTGAGAATTTCCTGTTTAATGAGGACATTTTGCTGTGAGACCAAACCTAAGAACTACTGGTAGAGGAACGAGAATCTTAGTTGAAGAAGCAGAGGGCTCCTCTGTCAACATAAAAAGAAAACCAGTTGCTGTCGCGTTGACACTGACTCACGGTGACCCCATGTGTGTCAGAGTGGAACTGCGCTCCATAGGATTTTCAATGGCTGATTTTTCAAAAGTAGATCACCAGACTTTTCTTCCGACGCACCTCTGGGTGGACTCGAACCTCCAGCCTTTTAGTTAGCAGCTGAGCACATTAACCATTTGCACTGCCCAGGGTCTCTTCTGTCAACTTAATGGGGACATGATATGTGCCCTGTTGGTAGATGGCAAGAGGAAATCATGTTAAGTGGCCTGGGAGGGAAACGCAGGTGAAACGAGCATGCAGTCAGCTTCATTCTTTTCACTTCAGGGCCAGCTCCTGCCCAGGCTACAGGGGAGCCCGGTGTGAGTCCAGCTCCGGGAGTGGGAGGTCCTCAGGGCCCCCAGACAAACCACTACGACAAAGTAGGACAGTGGGCACCCGAGGAACGCAGAGTGCCATGGGAGCCAGGGGAGGGAGAGCGCGTGCCCTGCCCCGCGGGCCTCACATCTGGCTGCAAGATAGACTCACCACTCATCCCCGCTATATGACCTTCCGGAAGAGGGTTCAGGGGAGGGCTGGAGGGATGAATAGGTGGAGCTCAGGGTGGTGCAGTGGTTAAGCACTCGGCTGGTAACCAAAAGGTCAGTGGTTCAAACCCACCAGCCAATACACGGGAGAAAGATGTGCCAGTCTGCGGACGTAAAGATTTACAGCCTTTGAAAACCTATGGGGCAGTTCTACCTGATCTATAGGGTCACTGTGAGTCAGAATCCACTTGATGGCAATGGGTTTGGTTTTTTGTTTTTTGGTGAAACTCTTCTGTGTAACACAGTGATGTTGGACCCATGACATTATGCATTTATCAAAACCCGTAGGACTGTCCAACACACAGTGAGCCCTCATGTAAGCTGTGGACCTCAGCTAATAACAACGTATCAGTATTGGTCCATCGATTGTAACAAGTGTAGCACTGGAATGGAAGACGTTAATAATAGGAGGCACTGTGTGCAGCGAGACAGGGAGCTCTCTGTACCTTCGGCACAATTTCTCTGTAATCCTAAAACTGCTCTAAAACAATAAAATCTATTGTCAACCAAAAACAAACAAACAAAAACAACGGTGGGCCCGCACCTTGCCCCTCCCTGAGAGCTGTGTGGATTTGTTTGGTGTGAGCTTGTACTGGTGTTTTGTAAAAGCTCCCCAGTGAAGAGAAGCCCAGGTTTCAATCTATGGAATTAGAGATACCAGGGCAGGCTTAATGAAGGAGGTGCCATCCTGAACAGGCAGGATTTTGCTGGTGAACATGGAGAGAAGGGAGTTCCAGGCCAAAGGAAAAACAGCAAAGGCCAGAAGGTGGGCTTGGATGGAGAGCAGTTGGAAGTTGTGTCTGGCTGTGTTCTTAGGAGGGAGTGAGGGAAGAATGGGGGCAAACTTGGTCCATGCCCTTGAGTGCCAGGCCCAGGGTATTGGGCTTAGTTTGGAAGGCAATTAGCATACAACAGCTCTTCTATTTTTATACCTTACTAAGTCTAGTAACAATTCATTATAACAGTCTCATTAACCAAACAACTGCATTCATAGACTGTTGGATGTAAATCTCAGAGGACCTACAAGCTTCTAGAATCACTTACCAACAAGGGTGTCTGAGCACCTTCTAGGCTGGGAAGCATGACGGTGTCCAAGTACCGGGAACCAACTTTTAAAAATCTAGCCAGAGGAATAGAGCATGCACACAGCATGGCAGACGGGCAGTGTCCCAAGCTGAGTGGACACGTGTGCATGTACACAGCAGGGCAGACAGGCAGTGTCACGAGCTGAATGAAGGCTGGGCCTTTAGGGACAGTATCCTGCTCAGGCTGGAGCCTAAGCTGGGCCCTAACTGGTGCGCTGGAGGCTCAGGGGAGAGGGCAGCTGTACCCCTGAGACCTCCCTTCGGTAATTTTTACTGATGACCTTTCTCCTAGGTCCATGATGTCTGCGTCTGCCAGCACAACACCGCAGGCCCCAATTGTGACCACTGTGCACCCTTCTACAATGACCGGCCCTGGAGACCTGCAGATGACCAGGACCCCCATGAATGCCAGAGTAGGAGTCTAGGATCACCTCCTCCCCTTGGTGGTCTGGGACAGATGTTGGCCCTTCTGGGCCTCAATGTCCTCAGCTGGGACACAGGGAGAATCTACTTTTTATTATTTAAATCTAAATCTAATTATACGCCTGCAATTTAAGCCCCTGTTCTTCTCTGGGAATGGAGAGAGTTTGGGAGGCATCCGCACTGTCCCCATCCTTCTCCTCAGCCAGGCCTGAGGTCTGTCTCTCTCTGGCCCAGCCTGGTCACTGTTCTCAGGTTCATCCCCACACTGCGAGTTAGGAGGTCTGAGTTCTCCTCCGCTCTGCCTTCTTACTGGTCACGTGACCTTAAATAGGAGGCCCTGGGTGGTGCAAATGGTTAACATGCTTGACTGTGCTCGGCTGCTCACTGAAAGGTTGGAGGTTCGAGTCCACCCAGAGGCACCTCGGAAGAAAGGCCTGGTGATCTACTTATGAAAAATCAGCCATTGAAAACCCTATGGAGCACAGTTCCACTCTGACACACATGCGGTTGCCGTTAGTCGGTGTCAACTCGACAGCAACTGGTTTTTTTAACCTGATATAAATCGGGCCTTCATTTCCCTCTCTCCCTGCCCTGAGAAGGCACCTTGCAGAGTTGCTCTGAACTGCCAGGGAGCCGCTGTGAAGGTGCTCTGTGGACGGCAGCAGTGCTGCGGAAGGAACATCAGGCCTGGCACTCTTTGTTTTAGGATGTGACTGCAATGGTCACTCAGAGACATGCCACTTCGACCCAGCTGTGTTTGCAGCCAGCCAGGGGGCTCATGGAGGCGTGTGTGACAAGTGCCGGGATCACACGGAGGGCAAGAACTGTGAGCGCTGCCAGCTGCACTACTTCCGGAACCGGCGCCCTGGTGCCCCGGTTCAGGAGGCCTGCATCCGTGAGTAGGGGCTGTCCCTCACCCCCATCTGCACTGGGACATGGGCCTACAGGGAGCACAGAGGGTTGGTTAGGGTCGGGACTTGGGAGTGACTGTTTCAACTTAGCTGTGCACTTCTAAACAAGTCACTTAACTTCTCTGGACCACCAGTCAGTCAATCGATCAATATGTAGCCCTTATTTTGGGGCACAGGAGAGAAAAAAAACAAATATAAAATACAGTTTCTGCCACCAAGGAACACGCGAACATTTGATAATAAGCCACACACACATGAAAAAAGAGAGGACGGGGAGGAGGGAGGAAAATAACACTCGTGAGCAAGCGCCTCTTTGCGCCACTGCCCATTTGGCGAGGAGAACTGGGCGGGGCAGCCGAGCTCCTTCAGTCTTTAAAGAAGAAAGGGCCAGGCCACTTCTGATACCCGCACTAGGGAAGGGACAGAGGGTGTCGGGTGATCTTCCTAATGGGGACTGGGAGGGGCAATAACTGGGAGGGTCCATGAACAAGAGGGCATGAGGGAAGAGAGCAGGTTTGGGACCAGTGGGCCAGCTCTGATCCTGCAGCCATTGGTCCCTCCCTGTCCGGCCGTCCTCTATCCTGCAGGATCCTGTAAGATTGCTACACAAATCCGATGATGTTAGTGCCCCGCTCCCAAACCTCGGTGGGCTCCCCACCACCTGGAGATAAAATCCACACTCTGCGCGTGGCATGCAAGGTCATGCTTGGTGGGGCTGCTGATGCTCCTCCATGGAATACCTAGGTGCCTGTGGCCGCTCATTCTTCCTGGGACACGCCACACTGTTATCTACTTACATGATTTGTGCACATGGATTGCCTCGGTCCCCCTCCCTTCCCACGACCCCACCTGCAAATGCCTACGTACCTTTCAAGTTCGCTTTATCCATGTGCATGTTATTGCCTTTACCATATAAATGAGGTTTGCTATTTATTTTCTGTTTTCCCCAATATTGAGAACTCCTTGATGGCATGGATTTTGCCTTACATCCTCAGGCCCCAGCACAATGACCAAATGGCAAATAACTGATGCTTAAGGAATGTTTGTTGAACACATGAATGTAATGTAATGAAACACCCAGGGGTGACTTACCATGTCCACAAGTGCCAGTGAGTTCATATAGGAGAAAGCGAACTGGACTGAAGCAATCTGGCTGGGACAGGTTTAATCAGGGAAAACTTGCTGGGAGGAGTTTTGTGTTTTGAAAGGTATAAAAGAGATCTCGAAGTGGGGTTGGGGCAGGCTAGGCCCCTTCCTGTTGATATTATTTGTCTATGGAAAGAGTAAGACAGACTTGAGTTTGACCCCTGTTTCCACCACTTACCTTAAGGAAGTTCTTTAAGATCTCGGAGCCTCAGTTTTCTCATCTATACAATGGGGATATTAATACCCAACCTTCAGGCTTATCAAAAGGATTAAATAATGCAATATGTGAGAGTGCTCATCTCAGTTCTTGGCACATAGTGGTAACTCAATAAATAATGAAAGCCAAAAAGACATTTATAGTAGTTAACAAGTGCCAAGCACTGTTCCACATTCGTTACATTTATTCCTCATAGGAAGCCTGTGAGGACTGTATTCCTCCAGATGAGGAAACTGAGGCAGGGAGTGGGGGGTGGTGAAGTAACTTGACTAAGGTAAACGTCCAGTAGGTGGTGCAACAAGGACTTGAACTCAGGCTTCTGGTACCTAGAATCAGCTCTTAACCCTCAGCGTTTCTTCTTCGTCCCACTCTGCTGCTGCTCTCGTCTCTCAGCCTGTGAGTGTGACCCGGACGGGGCGGTGCCAGAGGCTCCCTGTGATCCAGTGAGCGGGCAGTGCGTGTGCAAGGAGCACGTGCAGGGAGAGCGCTGTGACCTGTGCAAGCCGGGCTTCACTGGACTCACCTACACCAACCCGCAGGGCTGCCACCGTGAGTGGGGGCGGGCTTGGCCTGCAGGCGCAGGGCAGCTGCGTGGGGGCCACCCGACCCATGACTTGTTCTGCTCACTGTACTCTCTCTAGAAGAAACCCCAGTCCAGGGTAGACAGTGGGGATGTGCCTGAGGTCCCATTTCTCTCCTCCCCCAGCACCAGGTGCTGTGGCACTCGCCTCCGGCAGGTGGCAGCAGGGGCCCAGGTTGGGGAGGTGGACTGAGTCAGCAAGGGAGGGCAGGGAGGCAGGCTGCTAAGCTGTCAGGTGGCTGGGACAGGCAGGGAAGTGCAGTGCCTGAGAACTGGCCATGTTATGTGGAGGGAATGGCCCTTCCTAGTTCCTTTCCTGGGCTGGGCCCACTCCCTAGGTGTCTGTCCTCTGGGGGTGAGTTTTCCGTGGGGTGTCCCTCTCAGCAGCCCTCCTTCCTGCAGGCTGTGACTGTAACATCTTGGGGTCCCGGCGAGACATGCCATGTGATGAAGAGAGTGGGCGCTGCCTGTGTCTACCCAACGTGGTGGGCCCCAAGTGTGACCAGTGCGCGCCCTACCACTGGAAGCTGGCCAGCGGCCGGGGCTGTGAGCCGTGTGTCTGTGACCCGCGTAACTCCCTCAGCCCCCAGTGCAACCAGGTACAAGGCACTGGGTGGAGCTGCCCCCCCCCCCAGGAGAGGGGTCCTGCCTACCAGCTCCTCTCTCTCACCCTACGCTGCCCTTCTGGGACTTGGCAGAGTCAGGGCTGGGCCTTCTGGGGAGCCCACCAAATGTCCCCTCCCTCTGTGGCTCTCAGCTCTGGCAATACCATCTTTGCCACACCTTCTGCAGGGCCCAGTCTGGGCTTTGACTTCAGGCTTGTTTCTGAGAGGGAGCCTTTCGGGGCACACTGGCTCTGCAGTCAGCGGTGGCCCTGCATTCTGTCTGCTGACCAGGGATCTGGGACACAGTCCCCCATACCAGGCAAGGTGGAGCCTGTGAGGGCAGCTCCCCTGACAGACCCTCCCCTCCACCCACAGTTCACAGGCCAGTGCCCCTGTCGGGAAGGGTTTGGGGGCCTGACCTGCAGCGCCGCAGCCATCCGTCAGTGTCCAGACCAGACCTATGGAGACGTGGCCGCCGGGTGCCAGGGTATGCTGTCACTGAGGGAGGTGGGAGGATGAGCACGTGTTGCACACGGCAGGGGCGTGCAGGCTGTCGTAGGTGAGGACACCGTGTACTGACGTGTGGTGTGGGCCGGCAGCCCCCTGAGCGCGACCTTCCCCTCGACTGCTGTCCATACCTGGCCAGTCTGTGTCTTCCCAGCCCCTGGGGCAGAAACCAGGCCCCATAGCAGGTGGCTGCTTTTCTGCAGCATCCCTTAGGAAGAGCAATTTCCAGAACCCTCTCCAGGGCAGCGATAGGGAGGGGAAGACACGTCCCCCCACTTCATAAGTGGAGAAAGTGGGTCCTGAGGGGGAAAGGTATATGTCAGTTTTGCAGAGAGTCAGTCTGATGCAGTAGAAAGAGCGCAGGACTTGGGTTATGCTGGCCTGGGCTCCAGCTCAACTCTGCCACCGCCTCACACGGTGACTCTGGGCAGGTCGCTTCCCCTCTTTGGGCCTCAGCTTCCTCCTCTATAGAATGAGACACGTTGTACTTAGCCTTTCTGTGCCTCGGTTGCCTCATCTGTAAAAGGGGAGAGTAAGAGTTGCTGACTCCTAGAGGGAGTCCCTGGCTGGGGTAAGCAGCTAATGCACTCAGCTGGTGACTGAAAGGGTGAAGGCTCGAATCCTTCCAGAGCTACCTCGGAAGAAAGGCCTGGCAACCTACTTCCAAAAAATCAGCCATTGAAAACCCAGCGGAGCACAGTTCTACTCGGACGCATGTGGGGTCACCATGAGTCAGAGTCACATGACAGCAATTCTTTTTTTAAACGTATAGCGTGGTTGTGAAGATCAGATGAGTTAATGTGTATGTGTGTGTGTGATTTAGAGCAGTACCTGGCGGCACACAGTCTCCACAAATCAAAACAAAACCTGTTGCTGTAAAGTCGATTCCGACTCGGGGTGACCCCGCGTGTTACAGAGTTGGGCTGAGCTCCTTCGGCTCTCTTGGCTGTAATCTTCTGGCGGTAGTCCAGAGCGAACCATCCGCACCACCGAGGGGGCCTGGCAACGGTCGGCACTAACCTGGTGTTTGCCTTCACTGTCGTTACCATGGCTGCTGTCTCTTACTCTCAGTCACGTAGAAGGACCCTGAGGTCAGACCTCCCCTGCAGATACTGTCATCTCCTGACCCCTAGTCTCTGATCATCATTTCTTCCTGACCCTAGCCTGTGACTGTGACTTCCGGGGAACTGAGGGTCCGGGCTGTGACAAGGCCTCGGGCCACTGTCTCTGCCGCCCCGGCTTGCGCGGGCCCCGCTGCGACCAGTGCCAGCGAGGCTACTGTGATCGCTTCCCGGTGTGTGTGGCCTGCCACCCGTGCTTCCAGACCTACGATGCTGACCTCCGGGAGCAGGCCCTGCGCCTCCGTGGCCTCCGCAACGCCACTGCCAGCCTGTGGCCTGGGCCAGGGCTAGGGGGCCACAGCCTGGCCTCCCGCATCCTGGACGCGAAGAGCAAGATTGATCAGATCCAAGCCATTCTCAGCAGCTCCCCAGTCACAGAGCAGGAGGTGACCCAAGCGGGCAATGTCATCTTCTCTATCAGGTAATTCCCTTTCTCTGCCAGTGGGTAGGGGAGCTCTGCCTCATGGGCTTATCAACGGCCCACTTGTCCCTCTTACGCGTGCACAGCCCTTCACAGCTTGCAGGGCCTCTTCATGCGTGTCATCTCTTCATGATCACCGCAGCCGTGCGAGGTCAGTGTGGCGGCTGTCAGCACCTCCATCATGCCCGTGAGGGAACAGACACAGGAAGTGACATGGCAGAGCCTCCTGGCCACAGAGGGCAGAGCTGCACCGCACATGCAGGTCGCGGGCCCAAGCCCTGTTCTTTCCAGGTGGAGGCCATCAGAGAGACCGGCTCCAAAAATAACTTACATTTGCCTTTGGGATAGAAGCGTTCCCACCCACAGCCCCTCCCACCAGCAGAGGAAGCTTTGTAGTGACATTCGGTTCTGGAAGTTTCTCTAATTAGTTTGCTTTCCATGAGCACCGACTGACTGAGAGCGCACAGAGCTGTCCCGGTGCGTGATCGGCCGCAGGGAAGAGGCAGCCTGAGGAGAATGACACCTGAGGGTCACCCACGGGCGTATAGCAGCTTTATTTTGTAGGCTCTGGCAGAGGAACTAGAGCAAATGTTGGGGTTCATTCATTCACTCATTCACTCACTGGATTTTTTTTTTTTTTTTGAACATCTATTAGGAGTCGAGCATTGTGCTAGGTGTTGGGGATATAAAAATTAATATGACATAGTCTTTGCCCTCAAAAGTTTCCCATGGCGGGGTGGTGGGCAGACGTGTAAACAGGGACTGTAATGTGATACATGTTACAGAAGAGGGCAGCCTGCTATGGAGGGTGGTCAGGAAGGCTTCGTGAGGGAGGCCGTGTGCCTTAAGTCTCCAAAGTTGAGTGGGCCCTTCACAGACACCCAGGGGTCTGGACATGCCGGCATGGGAGGGCATTCCAGGCCTGAGCAGAGCTGGGAGGAGCAGGAATACGAGGCAAAGGGAGGGGGTCCTGGTGGTGGGTGGGGCTGCAAAGGGCATGGAAGAGAGGAATCTCTGAAATCTCAGTGGGTGTGGGCCTGGACAGGTAGATCCTGAACCCCCTTCAGGGGGAGATGATAGGTGGGCAGAGGCTAAGGGGTCTGCAGCTCAGCGGGAGGTGTGGCCTCCAGAACAGAAGTGGTAGTTGAAATTAGCCTGAAGAGAGCTGAGTGGCGTGGGGTCAGGGTCATGCCCCTCTGGAAGCCAGGAGCAGGGAGAGCAGCCTCTGAGAGGTGGAGGAGAACCGGGAATGTTAGCATCACCCAAGTCAAGGAAGGAGAGAGTTTCATGGAGGCCAAACTGAGGACCCGCCTTCGGAGGCGGCAAGGAGACTGTCCCAGCACTCCCAACCCTTGTCCAAGAGGGGGCTCCCCCTTCTGTTGCCTGTGCTGGAGATCTGTTTCTCCTGGCTCAGCAGCAGTTTCTCCAAGGGGATGGCTGGTCCTGGGGAAGGCAAAAGTCCTCCTATGTTTTAGTGAAAGCCCCGCTCCCATCTCAGGCGGACTCTCCAGGGCCTGCAGCTGGACCTGCCTCTAGAGGAGGAGACTTTGTCCCTCCCAGGGCACCTGGAGAGCCTGGACCAAAGCTTCAACCGTCTCCTCATTATGTACCAGAGCAAGAGGGAGCAGTTTGAAAAAATCAGCGGTGCTGACCCTTCAGGTGAGGAGGGGCACTCCGACAGCCCCTGGTGTTGCTGTGGCCATCCCATCTCCCGGTTCCTGCTTCTCCCCCCTCTGCAGTCCTGCACTCCCAGGGGTGGCTCAGGCCCCTTCTCCTCTTCCCACAGGCGCTTACCGGATGCTGACTGCAGCCTATAAGCGGTCATCCCAGGCCGCCCAGCAGGTCTCCGACAGCTCCCGCCTGCTGCTCCAGCACAGGGGCAGCCGGAGGGAGGCCGAGCGACTGGAGAGGCAGGTGACAGGAGGAGGTGCCAGTGGCCCCCAGCTCGCAGCCCTGAGGCTGGGGCTGGCTTCCTTCCCTGACCTGACACCCCCCATCAACAAGGTGAGCTCTAGACTCATGGCATTGAGTCCCGCTTCCGGGAGGCCCCCAGCTTGCCACACCAGCTGCTGCCACGTATTTCCTACTAGGACAAACCCACCCCGCGGAGAATACACCCACTGCCCACCCTTCCCTTGTGCCCCTCACCGTGGGCTCAGTGGTTGCCAAGGAAACACATTTCTGGTGCCTGGTTGCCATGGAGACATCTGGCTGTCTGTTTTCTGGGGTGTGGGATGGGAGTGGTTGTTGAGCCTTGGAGTAGCCCCTTAGATACCCCTATCTCCACAGCTTTGTGGGGGATCCAGGCAGATGGCCTGCACCCCCGGAGCGTGCCCTGGTGAACTGTGTCCCCGAGACAATGGCACGGCCTGTGGCTCCCACTGCAGAGGCACCCTACCCAGGGCCGGCGGGGCCTTCTGGATGGCAGAGCAGGTGGCTAAGCAGCTTCAGGGCTTCACCGCCCAGCTCCAGCAAACCCGGAAGATGGTAGGTGCTGACAGGGTGGGTGGGCACTCTTAGGAGGAAGCAGACAGGATAGAACCCATTGGGTAATTTAGAGTTCCTGTTTTACAGCCGGGGTCAAAAGCCCAGAGACATTAGGTGACTGGCCCAAAGCCCCACAGCAAGTGAGAGAGAGTTTGAAGCCAATGTGTTGTGCTTTTTATGTGACTTCCACATCATTTTTTCTCGGGCCAAACTGTAAATGCTTCTTAGGCAGTCCTTGGGGTAGAGGGCGGCCCGTTGAGTCCTTGGGTGCTGCTGAGAGCCTTTCTTGGGGCTCTGACTGCTTCTCACCCAGAGAGTGTGTTTCGACAGATCAGGGCAGCCGAGGAAGCCGCCTCGCAGATCCAAACAGATGCTCAGCGCCTGGAGACCCAGGTGAGCACCAGCCGCTCCCAGATGGAGGAAGACGTCAGACGCACCCGGCTCCTCATCCAACAGGTCCGGGACTTCCTTACAGGTGAGCCTGGGCTCTATCCTCCCCTCGCTGATGCCTGATTCTGGCTGCCTCTCTCTCCCACGTCCAGATTGTCAGCCAGCTGTCTCCTTCCCTCACTTCACACCACCACCCTGGCTGGTCTGAGCCACCACTCAGACCTTGTTGGAACTACTGCTGGGGGCTTCTAATTACCCTCCCCTCTCCCCTCTTGCCCCATACAATCCATTCTTAACATAACCGCCTGAAACAGCTTTCACAAATGTTAAGTTGGATTGTATTCCTTTCTTGCTTAAATTCCTTCAATGGCTTCACCCTGTCCTTGGAATAAGATCCCAATTCCTTATCTTGTCTTGCAAAGTCTGGCCTCTGTCTGCCTCTTGGATGTGGCTTTGTGCTCCTCTCTGCCTTGCTCCCCAGCCTTCTCTCTTCTGATGCTCGAACATGCCAACCTCTTACCTGCCTCGGATTTCAGTTTGCTGTTTCTCTATCTGGAAGCTCTCCCCAAGGCTACTACTTCCTGTACTCCAGGTCTCAATTTAAATGTCATCTCCCTCTCAATAAATTCTAAGATTGAAGTTATACAAAGTATCTTCTCCAACCACAAGGGAACAACACTAGAAATTAATAGCAGAAGGAAAACCAGAAAGTATACAAATACATGGAAATTAAACAACATACTATTAAATAACCAATGGATCAAGGAAGAAATCAAGAGAGAAATTAAATATATATATATATATATACTTAGAGTTGAACAAAAATGAAAACACAGCATACCAAAACCCATGGGATGCAGTGAAGACAGTACTTAGAGGGAAATTTATAGCAATAATGCCTACATTGAAAGAGAAGATCTCAAATCAAAAATCTAACTCTACAACTTGAGGAACTAGAAAAAGAAGAGTAAACTAAGCCTAAAGTTACCAGAAGAAAGGATAAAACAAAGATCAGAGCAGAAATACATAAATGCCATCTCCCCAGAGGAGCCTTTCCTGACTACCCTGTCTGGTCATCCCCTCCCCTCCCTTCCTTTCAGTATCTGACTCTCATTGCATTTCTCAGGCTGTAAGGAGCCCTGGTGGCACAAATAGGTAAGTGCTTGGCTGCTAACTGAAAGATTGACAGTTTGAACCCACCCAGAGTCTCCATGGGAGAAAGACCTGGCTATCTGCTTCTGTAAAGATTATGGCTTAGAAAACCATATAGGGCAGTTCTACTCTGTCACACGGGGGAACTATGAGTCGAAATTGACTTGACAGCACCTGACAACAACACTCAGGCTGTGATTATTGGATTCATTTGTCCACTAGTGTACTGTTTGTCTCCCCACTAGTTGTAAACTCCACGAGGTCAGGGATCATTGTCTTGTTTATTACCGTATTGCCAGCACCTAGCATAATGCCAGACCCAGAAAAGGTACCTGACCTTTGTTGAATGAATAAACGGACCAGCTTCCCTCCCCTGTTGCCCTGGGAGTGAGAAAGGGCCAGGTAATGGAAAGATCCTGGGCTAGGACTCAGAATACCTGTGTGACTTGGGGCAAGTAACTCTACTCCTTGCCTCCTCTTTCACTTCTGGAAACTGAGATGATAGTTGTCCTAGTTATCTAGTGCTGCTACAACAGAAGTATCACAAGTGGATGGCTATTCTCTCATAGTCTAGGAGGCTAGAAGCCCAAGTTCATATTGCCATCTCCGGGGAAGGTGTTCTGTCTCTGTCAGCTTTGTGGGAAGGTCCTTGTCCTCAATCTTCTCCTGGTCTAGGAGCTTCTCGGCACAGGGACCCTGGGACCCAAGGATGTGCTCCCCTCCTGGTTCTTCATTCTTGGTGGCTTGAGGTCCCTCTCTTCTCTGCTCGAGTCTCTCTTTTATATCTCAGAAAGATTGACTCAAGATACAACCTAATCTTGTAGATTGAGTCCTGCCTCATTAGCATAACTGCCTCTAATCCTGCCTCATTAACATCATAGAGATAGGATTTACAACACATAGGATAATCACAACAGATCTGGGAATCATAGCCTAGCCAAGTTCACACACATTTTAGGGGACACAGTTCAATCCATAACATTCCACCCTTTGGCCCCCCAAAATTTATGTCCTTGCCACATGTAAAATACATTCATCCCATCATATCATAGCAAAAGTCTTAATCAACTACAAGTCCAAAATCTCATCTTCATACTTCCTTTTCATCTGTAAAATTTAGAATACAAGTTATCTGCTTCCAAAGAACAATGGTGGCACAGGCACAAGGTAGACACTGCCATAACAAATGGGAGAAATTGGAGGGAAAGAAGGGATAACAGGCACCAAGCAAGTCAGCAGAACATATTACATTAGCTCTCAAGCCTTGAGAATAATCCTCTGTTCTCTGAGACTATTTTGGCAATGGCCCTGTCCTCCAGACTCTGGGTGTTGTCCACACTGTCCGGATTCTGGGTGGAGGCCCCTCGGCCTTGGGCTTCAGCTCCGCCTTCCAGGCCCACTGGGATGGCAACTCTGCTCTCTCAGCTTTGGGTGGCCCTGTGGTCCTAGTCCATCTGAGTGATGACCCCACCACCTTGGCTTCATTCTTCTGCCCCTTAGGCATGGCAGCCCCACCCCTTCAGCTTTGGGCAGCAGATCTGGCCCCATCCCTCTGCCACGTGTGAAAGGCAGCCCCACTCTCTGGAACCGAGTTGGTGAAGATCTGACTCTTGGAAATCTAGGAGGCTGTGGCCCCATCCTTTGAAATCCCAGAGGCCATGGCTCCACCCTTTGAGATCCCAGAGGTTGTGGCCCTACCCTTTAAGACTAAGGCAGCTCTGCTTCCTGTGTTGCTTGTCTCTTCAGTTTCTGTTTCCTGGTTCCTTGGCCTCTCGGCCCCTTGAGCCTCACTGCCCATGTCTGCCCTGCTGGGGCAAGTGTTCCAAAGCTCTTTAGCTCCACTGATAAGTGCCTGGAGGCACCCCACTCTGCCAGTAAACCTCAGCCAGAAGACACCTGGCTCTCTTGCTCCATGGGTTGGCAAGCCTAACTCCACCAATAAGTGTCTCAAGGCACCCCACTCAGCCAGGGGTGCACAGGCACTCAACTCTCTTGCTCCGTGGGTTGGCTCCTGTGCTGTCACTTGCTGGTCTGCTGGTTCTGCTGCTGTTTCTCGCCGTCTGTGCCACCTCCAGTCTAACAGCTCTCCTCACTTCCTTCTGAGCCCTCACCAGAACTGTCTGATGTCCATAATGCCACCAACAGTCTCTTCAAGGCAATCTAGGCTTTTACTATTAGGCACTTCAAAACTCTTCCAGCCTCTACCCATTCACAGTTTTAAAACTGCTTCCACATTTTAGATATCTGTTAGAGCAGCATCCCACTTTCTTGGTACCAAATTCTGTCTTAGTTAACTAGTGCTACTATAACAGAAATACCACAAGTGGATGGCTTTAACAAAGAAAAATGTATTATCTTACAGTCTAGGAGGCTAGAAGTCCAAATTCAGGGTGCCAGCTCCAGGGGAAGGCTTTCTGTCTCTGTCAGTTCTGGGGGAGGTCCTTGTCATCAATCTTCCCCTGGTCTAGGAGCTTCTCAGCACAGGGATGGCGGGTCCAAAGGATGTGCTCCCCTCCTGGTTCTTCATTCTTGGTGGCATGAGCTCCCTCTCCTCTCTGCTCAAGTCTTTCTTTTATATCTCAAAAGAGATTGACTCAAAATACAACCTAATCCTGTAGTTTGAGTCCTGCCTCATTGGCATAACTGCCTCTAATCCTGCCTCATTAACATCATTATTGTTGTTATGTGCCATCAAGTTGGTTCTGACTCAGAGTGACCCTATAGAACAGAGTAGAACTGCCCCATAGGGTTAAGGAGCAGCTGGTAGATTCGAACTGCTGACCTTTTGGTTAGCAGCCAAACTCTTAACCACTGTGCCACCAGGGCTCCCATTAACATCATAGAGGTTAGGATTTACAACACATAGGAAAATCACATCAGGTGACAAAATGGTGGAGAACCACCCAAAACTGGGAATCGTGGCCTAGCCAAGTTGACACACATTTTGGGGACAACAATTCAATCCATAACAATAGTATTTCACAAGTTGATTCTGAGGATCAAATAACTGATGTAAAATGTATTTTGAAAACTGAAAGTGCGTCAGGAATGCGAGTTGCTGTTATTAGATTCTGGGTCTCTGCCAGGGAATTTGCTTGCCTGGGATCCCAGTTAACACGAGCCGAGGGCTTGATGTGGCTACAGTGGCTCTTCTTGCTACTATTGCAAGGCCTTTGCCCCAGACAGGCCAGACCAGAGCCCTCCTGAATGTCAATGGCAGGTCAGAGAGGGGAAGAAAGGATGCACACAAGTCCTGTGACTTGTCCAAGGTCATGTGGGGCAGTCTCCCCAAGAGGTCCACAGTGGGGGAGTGCCACATGGGGACGCAGGGAGATGGTGCACAGCAGGCGCGGGCCAAAAAGCAGGCCAACGCTTGGGGCACAGACTCACACGTGAGCCCAGCCCCTGGGCGGAGCCCAGCCCCTGGGCCAAGGAGCCCAGCTCCTGGGCCAAGGAGCCCAGTGAGGCTGAAAGGCCACTGCCCTGCATTAACCCCAGCAGGGGCCCGGCCTCAGGCGGTGGGACGTGGGTTGGAAGCCTTTCCTCCAGGGTGCATCCCAGGCTCACACAAACAGGCAGGGAGTGACTGGGCAGTGGGACTTTTTGTCTTCTCGGTTATGCTTGTGTCTCAGGTCCAGTCCTATGATGAGGGCAGGGACAGAGAGAAGGAACAGGGCCTGAGAGAGGCCTGACCCCAGAGAGGGACCCGGAATAATTGTCACTGGCCGCGGCAGTGTGGGTTCTAGTTTCCAGAGTCCTGCTGCTGGCGGAAGGCTGGGTACGAGGGTCTGTTGACACGCAGAGCCACAGCGTGGAGGAGGGAGGGGACGTCGCAGTACTGAGTTCTGCAAATGTAATCCATAAAATAATAAAACCAGTAGCTGTCGAGCTGATTCCATCTCATGGTGACCACCCCCCACGTGTGGAACCGTGCTCCACAGAGTTTTCAGTGGCTTATGACCAAGCGAAGACACCTCTGGGTGGACTCAAACCTTTTGGTTAGCAGCCAAGACATGAACTGTCTGCACCACCAGGGACTCTAGTTCTGCTCTTGCTCTCTAACAGAGATTTGGCTTCTAAACACTCTTGCTAACAGATTATTTCATTTCATCCCCTTGGGTTGGGGGTTGTTATTCTCGTTTCCCAGATAAGGAAACTGAGCTCAGACTTGCCCCAGGTTGCTTGAGTAGGAGAGGGGAGAGGTGGGTCTGGAGCCCTTTCAGTCATTTATGCACTCTACAAATACTGAGTGCCTCCAAGTGCTAGGAACTGCGCTAGGTGCTGGGCCCCTGTCCTCAAGAGCTTACATTCTGTGGGGAACAGACAAGCAGTCAGATGGATGAGTTAAGTGTATGCATGTGAGTGGTGGTGAGTGCCAGGGAGAGAACTGCAGCAAGCAAGGAGGGCAAGGAGCGCTGGGGTAGCATGGAGGCTGCAGTTATAGACTGGGCAGTCGGGGAGGGGACACTTGAGCAAAGACACAATGATCTTATCTGCCTTTGCAAAATGGGCACTCTGGCCAGAGGAGGGCTGTGTGGACGGGGTCTTCTTTCTAGGGAAGCTCGGGTTCCTGGCTGCTCTTCCTAATTTAGGGCTGATTATATGTGCTCCAGCATTGTTTTGTACCAGCTGTTTGGCACCACCTCCCCTCCCCAGCCTGCGGCTTCCTTTGGCTCCAGACACTTAGTTGCCACAGCTGTGCCGACACTCTCCTCCACACAGCAGGAAGCCCAGGACAGCCGTCTGCCTGCAGCATTTCCCCCGTGTCTTCACAGGACAGGACTGGGGTCTGAGCCTGGGTCAGAGGAAGCAGCAGCTCCTTGGGGAACCAGGGCAGAAGGGCCATGGCGCGTACCTCCCACGAGTGTGCGCAGCCTGGATCTTTGAAGAGAGGGGTGCACTCCCCAAATCTGATGAACGCTGTCTTCCAGACCCTGACACTGATGCAGCCACCATCCAGGAGGTCAGTGAGGCGGTGCTGGCCCTGTGGCTGCCCACCGACTCCGCTACAGTCCTGCGGAAGATGAGCGAGATCCAGGCTATGGCGGCCAGGCTCCCCAACGTGGACCTGGTGCTGTCCCAGACCAAGCAGGACGTTGCACGGGCCCGCAGGCTGCAGGCTGAGGCTGAGCAGGCCAGGTACCGTCCCCCGCCCCAGAACTTTTCCCCTGCCCAGGCTTGGGCTGCAGATCAGAGGGTGCAGAGGGCTGGGGGCAAGAGGTGCTTACCCAGGTGGGGGATGCTTAAGTGGTGCGGAGTCTTACTCGGCATGGCCCTGCTTTCCATGTTGGAAACTTTGCCCTAAGGGGTCTTAGACATAACACCGACATTCATCCTGTCTGCTTGGGAAAGTCCTGGGCTGTAAAAGCTGCTGAGTTAATACTCCCCTTGCCCTGTGTCTTGGCTGGGAAGTGTATTCCCTTGGACGGGCAAGTGAGGAGAACCACACACTTACTCATTCACTTGCTCCCTGCTTCTGTGTCTGCTCTCCCTCTGCTCCTCTTGCCCCAGGACCCGAGCCCACGCTGTGGAAGGCCAGGTGGAGGACGTGGTGGGGCACCTGCGGCAGGGCATGGTAGCACTGCAGGAGGCTCAGGACACCATGCAGGGCACCAGCCGCTCCCTTCGGCTGATCCAGGACAGGGTTGCTGAGGTGAGGCGCAGTGGCTACCCCCGTCCCCCCCTTATCTGGGGAATGCAGAGCCAGACACAAGCCCAGGGCATAGAAGATGCCAGAAAGAGACCCTGATGGAAACTGAGCAGGAGGCCTGAAGAAGTAGGGTTACAAGCCTTGGGCCTGGCTTTGAGTCTTTGATTTTCTGGTCTTGTGGCTAGGATGCAGAGGCCAGGGGTGGACTCTGAGCCCCAGTGGGGGCGAGGTCATTTGAATGGGAGGGGGAGGAGGCCAGGATGTCTGTGGGACAGACAGAGAATTGGGAGGGGGGTAGTCTGTGATTTTCAGCTTGGAGAGAGTTTTGCTGCCTAGCGAGTCAGGGAAAAACAAGAAGGTTGAAGGCCCCTGTCTGGAGGACCCACCACAAACCCCGATTTCCTCCCACTTTCCCATAGGTTCAGCAGGTCCTGGGGCCAACGGAAAGGCTGGTGACGGGCATGATGGAGCAGCTGAGTGGATTCCGGGCGCGAATAGAGGCGCTCCGCCGCCAGGCTGGGCAGCAGCGGGTGCAGGCAGCCCAGGCCCAGCAGCTCGCCGCGGGCGCCAGCGAGCGGGCACTGAGCGCCCAGGAGGTACAGAGCAGGGTGGAGTTAAGGGCAGTGCCAGAGGAAGCACATCAGTGAGGGGGTCCTGAGCAGGAGAGGACTTTATATACTTTGTAAGACCACTGGCTCAAAAGCAACTGGAATAACAGAACAAGAAGGGGCTTCAGGAATAACCCAGACCTGGCTAACACCTGAATTTCCCCCTGGCTGCCTGTGGTGTCGTCTGTTCAGGGATGTTGCAGACAATCTGGGCCAGTCTCTCGCATTTTACAGATGAAGTGGTGACTTGTCCAGAGGCCCAGAGCTCATCTACAAGCAGGCAGTCTAGAGCGTGTCCCACTGTGCTGGGTCCTGTCTTGGCTCCCCAGCCCAGACAGACACTCTTGACTTAGCCTAACCAGGCCCCATCTGTGCCAGAATTAGATCCGAGAGAAGATTAAAGGGCCATTCTCGTGCCTTAGATATGCCATTTGCTTTCCCCAGGGCCAGGAACCTTGGCCCTTATAATCCCATGCAGTGGCCACACTGATAGGTATACTACTAAGTGCCAACTGTGTGCATGGCATTGTGCTGGAAGCGAGGTGGGTAAAATGGCAGGGGCTGGGGGTGGGAGGAAGGGAAATACAGGGGAAGTTTAAGTCGTGGTCTGTGGCCTAGGAGTTTTAGATTAGGGTGTAATGACCAGTTGCCTTCGAGCTGCCCTGACTCATGTGTGAGAGCAGAACTGTGCTCCATAGGGTTTTCAGTGGCTGATTTTTTGGAAGTAGACCGCCAGGCTTTTCTAGATGGACTTGAACATCCAACCTTTCAGTTAGCAGCAGAGCATTTAACTGTAGGCACCACCCAGGGACTTCACTTGGGTGGAATAGGAGCCACCATATTACTGTGTGTTGATTTGGGTGATATCAAGTGCTTTAACCGTAGGTCTTTAGGACTTTGGATGATGCTGATGGTGACACTGAGACCTCTCTTCCTCTTCCAGGGATTTGAGAGAGTAAAGCAGAAGTATGCGGAGCTGAAGGACCGGTTGGGTTGGAGCTCCTCGCTGGGTGAGCAGGGCAACCGGATTCTGAGCATCAAGATGGAGGCTGAGGAGCTGTTTGGGGAGACCATGGAGATGATGGACAGGATGAAAGGTGAGGGGATGGTCCGGGGACTTGGACCACAGCGCGTCGCTAAAGGCTGGTCCCTGCCCAGAGCTTCCCAGGTCTACTCCTCGGTGAGTGCACAGTGCTAAGGGAGTGAGACCAGTCGGGATTCACTGAGCACCTAATAAATAGGAGCGTCAGTGAGGGGCTGTGGGGAATGCAGAGATGTTCCCAGCCCAAGACATGGCCCTGCCCTCAAGAAGCTTACAATCCAGATGGGGCCATTTTTCCCACCTCCTATAAGATGCACAAAAATGTATTTCATAGCACAAGGTGGCCTGAGATAGGGGCCTGAATAACAAGAACTCTAGGGCTTCAGAGGATGAATCATTTCCAAGGAGAATGTTCAGTGACGGTAATGTTCAGAAAAGGTCAGATTGGAGGTGGACCTTGGAGGTAGTGCAGGCCTGGGAGAAACTGAGAGGAAGAGGAGGGACATGAAGACTAGGGTGGATGGGAAGAAACAGGGCATGTTCAGAGGATGGGGCCAGGACCCACCCCCAGGAGAGCGGTATTTGTGAGGGCTGGGACTGGCAGAGAGAAGCAGCCTGCATCAACGTGGCTGGCTCCAGGGCCAGGAGGAGGAGGGCAAACCTAATTGTGGACACAGTGGAGAACCAGCGAAGGCTCTTGACTCCAGTGTTTGAAAGGGTGCTGAGGCTCACTCAGAAAGGGGAACAGGGATTTCCAGGAACCAGGGCCACTTCTCTAAGGTGTGATGATGGGTCACTGGACTGGTGTGCCTGGTGAACACCACACAGTGTTTCTGAATTTCAGTAAAAGCTGTTGAAAAAAATCTCTTAGGGTAGCCAGGTGGACACCATAGAGAAGGGGCGGGGGTTGGTGGGTTGAGCGTATGTGAGGCTGAGGCTGACCACACCAAAGGGCAAGGCCAGAGGGGTTGACCTCAAGGGATGAGCCTAGTGGCTGGGTCTCTGCTTGCCCTGATCTTGTCCATCAAACAGTTTGCATAAAGATAAAGAATGTGCGTATCAAGTTTGTGGATGACACATAGTTGATTCATGAGGTAACAGACCTAATGTCCTAAGGCAATCTCAGAAGTCTAAAAGGATGTCCTGAAACTAACAGAATGAAATTAAATAAGGAGAAAAGTTATCTCCCACCCTGGTCTTGTCTGGGCCTAAGCTTACAAGTACAGCTCAGGTGAGGCCTGGCATCTCAGTGACTGATGTTGCTGCAAACACTTCATAACTGGTGAATGTTTAGCAAATATGAGTTGTTACCTGAAAAAGACCCAAGAGGTTCGAGGAACTGCAAGCTTGATAGAAGCCAGCAGTGTCTTGCTGCTGCCAAAAGAGCTAATAAACACAAAGCAGCCAAAATAAGACAAGAAACAGCTCAGGGATGATATTAAAAATGTTCAGCAACTGGTATGGCATGCGCCCACCACCCAGAAAAAGCTCAGGCTGTAGCACAGCAGTAGGCACTTACCTTTAATTGCTGGATTATGGGGAGGATCATGGGCATGGGGACATCTGGGTTGGAGGTAGGAGACAGCAGCTATAGAAGCATTAGGTGTCCACAGGCTGGATGTCGGCCCAGTCATAACCCTTGTATACTCTGCTGATAGGCTCTCCCCTGGGGGATGGTGTTCAAGTGGTGGCCACTGTGTCTTCAGAACGGATGTTGACAAACCTAAACACATCAGGGGAGAATGACCAGGGTGGCGAGGGAGGGGCCCAGTAATTATATCAGACGAGGACTGGATGAAGGAACTAGGGCTGTTTAACCTGGAGAAGATAGGGCCTCAAACATGTGAAGGGTTGCCACCTGGGAGACAGAACAGATGTATTTCTACCCCTCCAGAAACCAGACAATTGGGTGGAAGCAAGAAGTGGTTAGATTTTGCTTAATGAGAAAAAGACATTTTAAGTAACTAGAGCTACCTCAATTCCCCCTATTCCTAAAAAGTTCAGGCTGAGGCTGGTTACCAGCTCTCATGAATGTTGAAGAGGGGACGATGGCCTAGACTGACAGGAGGAACAGGCTGGAACTAGGTCACTTTGGCGTCCTTCAAACCCTCCAGGCATAGTTGGGTGATGGTATTCAGGGAGGGGGAAGACTAGATTTGTCTGGAGTGGCATTTTGAGGAGAGAAAGTGGGGAGGACTTCTGGTAGCCTGACCAGTTCTTTTGCTGTGGCGCCCAACTGGGGACCATTGGTGGGGTAACAGCTGCCTGGGTCTAGTGGCAGCGTGCTGATAATCTTGGTGCCAATGGCCTCAGTCTGGAACAACTGAGAGCCCAGAGCAGTGGAGACGGGCAGGGGCAAGGGACTAATTGGGGGTTAGGGCCTCCTGGGTCTGGCCCCTACTGGATTTCTCTAGGAGTTAGATGGGGGCTTGAAGAGAGGCATGGGGCTGGAGAGACCATTTATTCCCAGTCATTAGCTTACAGGCCAGACTACTGTAGAGACAATTTCTCCTGAACAAGCAGCCTTGAGGTGGGAGGAGAGGAAGGGTTGGGAGTCTTTGGTTGTCTCGCCAGCTCCCCCTCCTACCCCACTGTTCCATCTGTCCTCAGACATGGAGTCAGAGCTGATGCGAGGGAGCCAGGCTATCCTTCTACGCTCTGCGGCCCTGACTGGGCTGGAGAAGCATGTGGAGCAGATCCGAGACCACATCAACGGGCGCGTGCTCTACTACGCCACCTGCAAGTGATGCTCTGCTTCCAGCCCCTGGCCCCACTTATCTGCCCCCTTTGCTTTTGGAGGGCAAATTCGGTTGGAATGCTTTCTAGCTCTTTGAGACTTCTTTTCAGCCCGAAGCCCAGCCTGGGCCGTCCCTGGACTGCAGCTGAGCCTGAATTGATGGGACAACTCCATTCAAGGGACAGAGGTGGAGGCAGCCCTGCCATTGCCGCTGGGAGTTCTCAAGGGGAGGGAGCTGGTCTGGGCAGCATCCCTATACCTCCCCTCTTCCTTCTTTGAGGCTGAATCCTGGACCAACACAAAAACTTAACCACAAAAATGATGTACAAATGAAAAGTCCAATAAAAATCTTTGGAAAGGAGCCTGGAGGTTCAGTGAGGGAAAATGGTCTCTCTCCATTAAGTAAGCCTTTTCCATTGTTTCTGCCTCCATCAGCGTTCCTGGGTGCCTCCTCTGTTTGAGCCCAAGGCCCGGTATATGAAGCATAGACGCCCCACTCTGCTCAGTCCAGTTTGCCCATCACCCAGACTTAGGTTGGCTTGGGGATGGACCCCTTTGCCCTAGGACCTCATGGATTTGATCCTTGAGAGACAGACGAGCAGGTCCCACCTTTGAACATTGATCCAGCTTCCCATTTACAGATGAGAGTAGAAATCCAGAGAAGCAGTTTCCAAGTTCATATAGCTCCCTGGACTAAGGCTAGAATCTGTGTCTCTTGGGAGCTCAAAGGCATGAAAATTGTGTGCTCACCATGTCCCAGGCACTGTGCTAGGCATTTTCTCTGCACTCACTTCTTTATCAATATTAATTATATTAACCATTTATTGAGCCTATGTTAGGCACATCACCTATGTTAGCTCATGCTATAGGTGACACTGTTAGTCCCATTTGACAAGTGAGGAAACCAAGGCACGAAAGGTAAAGTAACTCAGCCAATATCACAGATCTGGTAGGTCAGGGCAGAGCTGGACTTCAAGCTCATGCTCATCCAGTACACTCACCCAAAGACTGGATGCTGGAGCCAGCCAGCTTGGGCTCCAACAGAACCTTCCCCCAAGGGATTGTTGTGAGGAGTAAATGAGTTAATATGTGTAACTCACGTTATAGGTGTACTAGCTACCAGCGTACACGGTACGTTCCCAATACACGTCAGCCATGATTGTCCGTTTCTACCTGACCTCAAACTCTCTACGTACTTCTCAATACTCTGCTCAGGACCACAAGTCCTTGAGCTGCTTCTGACTTTGGAAAGAACCAAATGAAGCCTCATAGAGAAAAATATGTCCATTTTATTGAGCACAACACTGAGCATGAAGCTGGAGGGGCTAGAGGGGCAGGGACACTGGGGAGGAGCGATGTGCCTGGCTTTCTGGGAGAGATGGGAGTAGAGGCAGGGTTAGAATTCCTGGTTGAAAATAGTCAACTCTGATTTGTATTCATTTGGGTGTGCATGAAGGATGTTGGGCCAGGATATGATTCCTACAGTCCCTGGGCTGGATTTCTTTCTGTTTCACTGTGGAGGATGGGAGATTGCCTTTAGATTGGGGCTGGAGATGGAGGTGGTTCCGGTGGTTCAGAATGTGCTGAGAAGTCTGCTGGCTGGTGCCACGGCAGGTGGCAGCTAGTCCTGGGGTTCAGGATATGAACTCGGAGGGCCCGCAGGCAGACCCAGGAGCTGCCAGTATTCATGCAGACGGGCAGGCAGCTAGGTTACCGAGCCCTGCAGAGGCGGGGCGAGCTTACACAGAGCGGGGAGCCCAGAGATACTCGTATGGCTTTGCTTGGAGGAGGTGGCAGCCTGGCCGGCCTATGAAGATTTTCACGACAGATGACACAGACCTGGCAAGAGCTGTCTAGGCACACTGCACAGAGCCACAGCAGTAAGGTTGGGGGCACCGAGCAGGCAGGTCAGGGAGACCTGGGGCCGGTGAGGCCTCTCCTCCTGCCCACAGCTTCAATGCGGCCTCACACCTCGGGGCTCATTCTGGGGACACCTCTGAGGGCCTGCCCTGGGTGGCTGCAGTCTGGCGCTCTGACTGGAAGGCGTTCCTGCCAGGCCCTGCTCTGCTTCTTCCCCTTCCTCCCTCTGCAGGGCAGATGCCAGGTTGGGAAGGGCAGAGAAGAGTCCAGAGTCTCTCCTGCAAAGGAAAGGGGCTCAGGGCGAGGGCAGAGTGCTACCTCCTGCCCACCTTAGACCCATCATTTAGACTCTGGGGTGGGTCTGTTCTTCTGGGACAGACGCTCTCCCCAGCTCCCCCACCCACCCTGCCCCTCCTGCCTCTGGTCCCCTCACCTGAAAACTGCAGTGGGACAAGCAGAGGCTCCGGGGATCACATAATGAGACAGACCCCGGTCTGCCCAGCCCGGCAGTGGGAGCTGCCGCTGGTTTTCCCTGGCACCATGACCTCTGATTTGAAATGCCTGGAAAGGAGATGAAGCAGCAGCTTTGACTTATTTGTGGAGAAAGCAGAGCTGGCGGGGGGCGGGATGTGTGTGTGTGTGTGTGCGCGCGCGCGTCATTCTCTGTGTCTGGCATCAACTCAGTTCTCCCTTTATGAGGTTCAGAAAGTACAAGACCCAGCAGAAAAGACAACCAAGCATCCCCTCTCAGTCCCCCAAACACAGAGGTCCCAGAAAACCCAGGGAATCTCATGATCCCGTCACTTTACAGTTTCTCTGGGTGTGAACACTGTCTGCTGCTTCTCTGAACCAGTGCCTCTGTGCAGCTGGCGGAGCAGGTAGGTGAAAGCTGACCAACCTGCCTTACAGAAGAGCAAACTAGAAACGGACATTCACTGACTTGTCAACGCCACACAGCTAGATTGGCAGGGACAGGGCTGGGAGCATGCCCCTTGATGCCTGACCCAGACCTCTCCCAGCCCTAGAGAACTGCTTCTGAATGGGAGAGGCCCTCTGTCATTCCTTTCAGTCCTATTGCCTGAATTCTCTCAGACCCAGGCTGAGCACCGCTGGGCCTCCAGTTCTGGCTGAAAATACATACTGTTTTTTGTTGGCCTTTCTCAGAAGCGTGGGCTCAGAGCAGTAGGAGGACTTCCCTTTGCTTCTGATGCTCAGGCAGCTGGCGCAGCAGCCACAGGGCCCCGCGGCCAGGGTTCCCTGCTGCATGGGCACCAGGCTGCTGCTGATGCGGAGGGAGCCGTTGACCAGGCAGTCGAGGTACCTGCCTCCAGAGGCAGTGGGACAGGGGCTGTGCTGGCAGGGCAGCCGGGTCAGGACAGGGAGGGCCACACTCTGGTCCAGGGCGGGAGCCTCGGTGATGGTGATCTCGGGGGAGCAGGGCCTAGAGGCTTCCAGGGCCTGCGTGATGGGCAGCCTGCTGTCCACCTCCGCACGGCCTGGGGGGCTGTGCAGGTTCATATGCAGCTTCCTCATGTGGTACACCACGGCTGCCGCGTTGAAGGCTTGCTGAGGAGAAACAACGCCAGACCCTGGCTGCTCTGTCCCCCCGGGGCCACGGGCTCAAGCTTCCCCTCTCCCCTGTGGCCTCCTGAAACCAGTGTGCCCTCTTCTCATTCCAGAGAGGGCCCAGGGAGCACCGGTGTCTGCTGGGGTCCGGTCCACAGAGAAGCCCCAGGAGAGGCCTGTGCCCGCCCTTGCCTGGTCCAGCCTCCAGGGGCCCAGAGCAGCCGCTTCTCCCTGGAGAGGACAACTCACCCTCCACTTGCTCTTGGCAAAGTTCTTCTGGATTTGGAGGCTGACTGACGGGTAGATGTCCCAGTGGAGGGCTGTGTTTCCGTCAATCCTGTGGAGGGAGGAGGGGACACCTGGCTAGGTGGTGGCTATGGAAATGCAGCCGGGGGTGGGCAGGGGGTGGTGCACGCAGGTCCAGGTTAAAGCCAGGTGGAATGCCAGGAGAAAGGTGGCCCACAGCAGGAAAAGGCCGGAACCAGGGCTGCTGGGTCCCCTGGGGCAGGTCATAGTGGGCTCATGCCTTGGCAAAACCAAGAGCTTGCTTTAGAGCAGGGTGGGCAAATTACAGCTTTGTTGGGACACAGCCACGCCCATTCATTCTGTGTTGTCTGTGGCTGCTTTCCTGCTACAGCGGCAGAGCTGAGCAGTTGTGACAGAGACAGGACGCCAGCAAGGCCTAAAGTACTTACTGTCTGGCCCTTTACAGAAAGTTTACCACCCCTGCTCTGGAGGGCACTTGGGTTGGCTTCAGCTCAAAATCTGGCTGGGAACCCACCTTCTCCTAGAAGCCTTCCCTTCTCAGGCCCTCCGACACGGGGTGCACTTTCCCTGTCCTTCTGTTGTTGCTGTTCTTAGGTACTGTCTGCCTGTAATCTTTACGGGAGCAGCTCTCCAGGTCTTTCTCCAGTGAAGTGGCTGGATGGGTTTGAATCGCCAACTTTTGGTTAGCAGCCGAGCACTTAGTTGTTGCACTACCAGGGCTCTCTGTCGCCTTAAAAAACTGAAAACCAAACTCTTTGCCATCGAATTGATTCTGACCCATTGTGACCCTATAGGACAGGGTAGAACTGACCCGTCGGGTTTCCAGGGAGCGGCTGGTGGATTTGAACTGCCAACTTTTTGGTTAGCAGCTGAGCTCTTAACCACTGCGCCACCAGGGTTCCCTGTCCCCTTAGCCCCTTCTTATTCACCCATCTCTGAGTGTTCCTCAGACACCTGCCATGTGCACGCACTGGACTAGCTACTAAGGGGCCCAGGGAAGTAAGGACTGTGGACCCTGATCCCCGGGAGCTTACAGTCCAGACGTGGGGTTGTTTTATCCCATGAGCAAGAGCAATTCATGGTAGCTGTGCACTGAATAAAGAGAGCTGTAGGAACTCGGGCATGGGGAGGTCTGCGTGGACGGCAGGAGTTGGGGCTTCAGGCAAGGGGCAGAGACTGACCTGGATCCTGAAGGATGCTGGAGACAGGGCAAGAGACAGGACAGTCTCAGTGGTGAAAATGGTATGACCCCAGGTGCAGTCAGGGAAGGCAGGGAGAAAAGTATAGCTCTCTGAGGCCTGTCTTCTGGGAGTTGAGGTTGGAGATAAAGCGTGAGGCCGTATTAAGCAAAGCCTAGAAAGGCAGAGGAATCTAGGCTTGCTGTGGCAGGAAGTGGGGAGCTATTGTAAATTCTTGAGCAGGGGAGTGACTTTACCAATTGAATGCTTCATGATTGTTCTTAAATCACTTCACATGGTACAGGTTTTCAGCTCAGAGTAAAATGAAGCTCGTAAGAAGAGGAGCAAGGGGCCCTGGTGGTGCAGTGGTTAAGCACTTGGCTGCTAACTGAAAGGTCAGCAGTTCAAAGCCACCAGCCACTCTGCCAGAGAAAGATGTGGCAGTCTGCTTCCATGAAGATTACAGCCTTGGAAACCCTATGGGGTAGCTATACGGTTGCTATGAGTTG